CCGCTGTCTCCGCCGCCGCTGTCCCCGCCGCGGCGGCCGAACTCAGCGAGTAGAACGGCGGAGGCGGCCCGGGTGGGGCCGGGGTTCGGCCACTCGGCGGAATGGAGATAATCAGAAGCAGTGCGTGCACCCTCAGGCGACCCCACGGCTCCCCTCACCCGGCCTGTTAGGCCCAAACCATGGCCCGTCTGCTTGGCGGGGCCTGGGGCTGAGGCAGCTCCTTTGGGGGTCGCCTCCCTGAAGCCCCCGCCCCCGGGGTCTTGTCCCTCTTTGGTCCGTGCACCCTAGGGAGTCCCACCTCCCCCTGCCGGGACACCCACTTGGGCCTTGTCCCCCGCCGATCCGTGCACCGTCAGGGCTTGTTCCTGTCTGGCCCGTGCACCCCGGGGACTTGAGTCCTCTGGCCCGTGCACCCCTCGGGACGGGACGCCCTGCCCCCCCGGTGCAGCCCCCTAGGACTTTGCTCAGGCCCGGGGCTGCAGCTGCTCCTTCTTCCCCCTCACCTTAGGAACCTGTGGGCAGGAAGCCAGGCTACGGGTTCTAAGCCTCTTCTCGGTTTCTCCGCAGATTTTAAGAGTAATCTTCACAAAGTGTACCAGGCCATAGAGGAGGCGGACTTCTTCGCCATCGATGGGGAGTTTTCAGGTATCCCTCGCTTGCAAGCGTTGCAATGCATGGCCAGGGCTCCTCCTGACCCCCTTCTCCCCACCCAGTGTCTGCTGGCCACTCCTCCCTGTGTAGCGTCCGGCAACTTGCCCTTGTCCCTTACTTCCTCTTCAACCTCCCTGAGGTTCAGGAAGACATGCGGGGCGTTTGTGATGCCTTCAGTTCTGAGGGTTGAAGAAAGAGTATGGTTTTGGTGCTGCTTCAGTTTATCCTGCTCGCAGTAGGAGAGCTTGAGGTTCAGTCTTTTGTGTGTGTGGTGAAATATACATAAGTGAAATTTACCAGTTTCACTATTTTTAAGTGAGGTTGTAGTTTGGTTCGGTGGCATTAAGCACATTGAGCTTCCCGTTCCTCCCTCTCCCAGCTTCTCACCACCTACTTCTGTCTATGAATTTGCTTACTCTGGGCCCCTCCTCAATGGTCCTTTGGTGACGACTTTAGGGTCAGATTTTTGTAGGTAAATGGGGATGTGCAATTATGCATTTTGGAAGTGTTCGTTTTCTACTTTGGCAGGGAAATGTGTGTGTATAAACCTTTAAGCACTTAAAGTTACAAGCTTTTCCCCTTTTTTTTCTTTGGCTCAAAAACTAATTTTTAAATTGTTGAAGACCATAGGAGCAGTGGGCTTCCACTGATTAAGGTACCCCACTTTTGCTTCCTGATTTTACATGTTTAAAAAACTCTCTAGCTCTTTCTAAAGGAATCCTGCATGGGGTAAAGTTGATACTTTATTTTAACCATGTGGTTTCTAGTTGGAATTAGTTTCCTCAGAAGCTAAGTTTTTAACAGAAATAATTTGCTCTTAACTTTGAAAATATCTTTGCTTGTTTAGATATTACTCCAAACTGTTGACCCACACAGTGTTCTAACAATCATGTACTTGGGGACTCTTTTGAAAGAATGCCACTATTCAGTGTTACAGATTGTTTTCTCATGTCATCACTAAGTTTGGAAATCTGTTGTAGACGCTGGAACTGCACTTTCTCAAGTTGAATCATTCTTTTCTCTATGCTCAGTACTCTAGGGTTTAAATTGATGGCCAGTGAAATTAACGCTAATTTCAAAGAAGAAAGGAGCACTGCCAATTAGCTTTAATTCATAAGACTGTAAGATATAGAGCCAGTGTTTAGTTGGTTGGCATTGTTACATTAGCATTTATCAATAAGTTAAAAACTTCTTAAAATCTAGGTATCAGTGATGGCCCTTCAGTTACCGCATTAACAAATGGTTTTGACACTCCGGAAGAAAGGTATCAGAAGCTTAAAAAGGTGAGTGTTTACTGAAAAGCCTTTTGGGGAAGATTTAATAATTTTACTTTAACTTGATTACTAAGAAGAGGTAGTTATTTTAACATTTGAAAACAGGCCTAATATGCCCTGGAGGGTGGCTAAATACTTAATTGGGAGAATATTTAGAGATGCCTATAAATTAATAATGCTTCTGATACACGGTCTACCATCTCTTGTTTTTGGAAGTAATTTGTCCAAGTCACAGTGAGTAATCAAAAAGCCCACCTTAGGGCTTCCCTGGAGGCCTAGGGGTTAAGTCTCAGCAGTTATCACCTTGAACTTGGCCCAAGTTTAACCCCCTCCCCCCCCCCAGCCCCATAATGGATCTCTCCTGTCTCCCTGCTGTGCCCATAGCAGTGTCTTTTAGGAAAGCTTCCTGTTCTGCTCCTCCTCCCTCTCTGGTGAATCCTCTCAGTCCCACTCCTCTGGCCTACACTCTAGTTCTTCTAGGTAAAATTAAAAAAAATAAACAAAAAGTCCACTTGCCTGAGAATACTATTGCTCGGGATTGAATAGGTAAGACTGTTTTGACAGATGTTTTATTTTCCTTTTCCAGCATTCCATGGACTTTTTGCTGTTTCAATTTGGCCTTTGCACTTTTAAGTATGACTACACAGACTCAAAGTAGGTTTCTTACAATGGATGGGATTTTGTTCTTGTAATGGCATAACCTCACCCTCTAAGTCTCCTTTGTCTTATTTTCTCAGGTATATAACAAAATCATTTAACTTCTACGTTTTCCCAAAACCCTTCAATAGATCCTCACCCGATGTCAAATTTGTTTGTCAGGTTAGTAGCATCCCTGAATTTTCTTTCTTTTGTGAATTGCTGATGAGACAGTGTGGAAATGTGGGTTGAGGAGTCGCTTTAAAGTCAGGTTCCATCACTAACTTTGGGCAAACAGGTGAAGTGTCACTTCTTGATCTTTCAGTTTTAGGTTGTAAATGAATGACAGTGATCGCGCTCTTTACTTTAGAATAAGTAAGAGTAAGACTCAGGAGATAGGCAGAATGAAATCAACATGAGATTTCTTGTGAGTAGAGCTTAATTTGAGAACATGGCTTCAAACTGTTCTGTATCTGGAATTTTTGTACCCTACCTTTCAATCGAACTGTTAGATGAGCACCTGGAGGCTTCTCTCCACCGTGTTTTCCTTGCACCTACCTCCAGCAATAGAGCTTTAGTTCCCGGAAGAGCGGATGTGTGTCTCCTGTGCGAGAGAGAACTGGTAAGGGCTTACTACCTATATGCGCTTCCTTTTCCTGCTTACCACTTAGGAAAGCGAGGAGGGGAAAGACGACTGTTTGCTCCTGAGGAGGAGAGGGCTTGCTTTGTGAACTGAGGTCAAGCTACAGGGGCTCCCCCTTAGGACCTCTTCTTTAGGGTTGTGTAGCTGCCTTGGCAGTTGCCACAGTTCTCTGTCCTCTTGATGATCTGTTACAACAGATGAGGAGGAGTGACCAAGTGGCATAGTGTAAAGATGCCTTTTTATACCCTACTGCTTTTTAACAGGAATTGGTTTTGGAAAATAATGATACCTACAGTATTTGCCTTTCCCTGAGGATTAAGCCTTCTAGAGAGTTACACTTTTCAAGATTAAGATTTAAAAAATAAGCGAACAGGAAATTGGAAGAAAAGAAAAACAAGGGTACGATCACTTCAGTGTGATTAGAACACAGGCTTGTGTTATTTGTCTCTGAGCCTCCTACCAACTAAGAAAAGGGGAGAACACCCAGAGGAACCCCTTTTCTCAGTCTAGACAGCTCAGAACATTTACCCATTTCTTCCCTTCACGAGGTCATGACTGTGGAGAGCGAGCAGTGGCCTCAGTCTGGTGAGCCTGGAGCTCACTCCCTGCGTTGAGGCTCATGGTCAGGGGACAGTTCAGGAGATGGGTTCTGTGAGGGACCAGGGGAAGGGGACTTCCGTGTGCTCCCCGCAGATGTTCTAATGTGAAACAGGAAGAAAACCAGAGCAGCTGCAGCTGGGAGTCCCCCTCTTCAGTCAGGTGGGGTAAACACTTTGTGACTTCGCATTCTTGTGGACTGTTGCTAAAGTTGGCTGCTACATTTCAGTTCTCCCTAGGTTTGGAATGTGTTTAATGAATAATTTTTGTTACCCCCACTTGTCTCTATGTTGATCCTGAATGTAAAGAACATCCAGTTAAGATCTTGGGTTCTTAGACTCTGACTTGAGGTGGATTTTGATGTCTCCTAACTTGCCTGTGAGAGCCACCTTAAACTTGAACCTGGGGTGGTTGATGTAATCTGTTTTCTTTCTATTTCTAGTCTCATCAGTACAGAGATCAGGAATTTTCTGTCTGTTGGGAGAATATCTGCTCACCCAGGGAACTTTTCTTAAATATTGTGAGGCTAAGGAGATTGGTATTTTAAGTTTCAAAGAAAGGCACCCAGACGGTTTATGTGAATTAATGGTCTGTTTGGCAGCTTGGGGTAGAGCCCCCCGCTACCCACCCAGGTCGCTCGTGCTCCCTGGCCTGGCTGCCTTTGATTATCAGCCTGAGCTGCGTATGCTTCAGTTCACATACCTGTTGCTGCCATCATTGACATACTTGTTCTGTTTATTCTCGTTTCAGAGCTCAAGCATTGACTTTCTAGCAAGCCAAGGATTTGATTTTAATAAAGTTTTTCACAATGGTAAGATTATCCGTGACTTGACTTAAAGTCTGTGTCTGGATTTGGTTGAGAATTCTTTTAGCGCCTGCTACCTGAGCTAGAGCCTCAGAGTTCAAGCATCCTTTAGAGTTTAAAAAAATTCTCTTATTGTGCCTTTTAGTTTTTTATTTTTAAAAGAAGTTGAATATCTTTTTTTTTTTTTAAAAGATTTATTTATTTATGCATACAGAACTGGGGTACAGGCCAGAGGTGCAGAGGCAGTGAGAGGATTCACGAATGACAGAGTGAGGAGCAGATTCACTGAAATACACACTGCTGAGAGGAACAATGGGGAGACAGGAGAGGTCTGCTGTGCCATGTGAAGAATCGAACTTGTGATGGCTGGCAGTGGCTGCAATAGCTTCATAGTGCTGCACTTTAAACAGTTGTGCCACCAGGGAGGGCCCCTGCCTTTTAGTTTTTAAAGCTTATCCAGTTAAGAAGCAGAGAATCAAAGCTACCTCTTGAGTTCTAATGAGGCATCTTAAGCTCCTGACTTTACTCCATCACTGGGGTGACTTAATTGCCTCAAGGACTATCTGTGGGGTATGCTTTCCTGTTTTCTCTCAGCGAAGCTATTGGCAGTGAACTTTAAAAGTTAGGGTATTCCAGTAACACTATCATGGAAAGCTCCCTTTCCGGCTGCCGCTTATTTTATCACATGGTGGCTCAGTTTCTCATGGGTGAAAAAGCCTGCATAGACAGAGCCACCTTCATTGTGCAGACTAATTGTTGGTGTGGGTCTGGTGATGTCCCTGAGGAAGGAGACTGTGCGCTTCCCTTCCACAGACCCAGTGCATAGGGCTGCATCAAGAAGGTGCACATTGCCTGTTTGATGAATGAATACTAGATAGTAATGCATGCCAGACTGGATTTCCTTCCAACGATATTAAGCACGTGGTTTTGTAAGGTCATTACCTGCTTTTTAGCGTAATCATTCTCATACATTGCATTCTTCTCCTTGAATATAAAATTGTTGAGTGAGGTAAAGAGGGATTTTTTTCCCCCCTCAATGAAAGTACTAGTATACAGGCTTCAAATAAATTGTCTTTCTGTTGGCATGATCTCTGGTGAGTCCACACCCCCTGTTTTGTTTTCTTGCTTCAGTGGTGCTGTCTCTTAATTTTTATGGATAATGGGATTTTGGGAAATACTGTAAAAGAATATTTGGAGCCAAACTACTTTAAGATAGTGGGTGAGCCATCCGGGTGCCATAATTTGGCTATTAGAAAAGAATAGTTTTTCCTTTGGTGCATACTTGACTCTAAAAGCCATGGTAAGTGCACACTCTAAATATATTTGGAGAACTCCTTTGGAGTAAGTTTAACGTTTTTGAAGGAACTAGTTCAGCCAGACTCAGATGCTTAGTTTCTTGCTGGGTTTTTTCGTTTCCATGAAAGAAGAGAAACTGCCCAGTTGGAGTGCACCTCATTCTTATTGTCTTGGGGTTTGTTAGTCACCACTAGAGGGGGACTCTGAGGCCATCTGTCAGGACCAAGACTCTTAGCCCAAGGCTGTTGCTGATACTCTTGAAACCTGATCTAGGACTTTTCTCTTCCAGACCAAATCTTTCCACTCAGACTCCAGAAATGGTCTTCTTGGAAGTGCCTTGACTTCTTATCTGAAGCTGCCAGGCGACTCCCCTAGTTACACTCCCCTGAAGCCCTCTGAGATGCAGGTGCTTTGACCTCCCTGTCACTGCCAGGCAGGGGTAGTCATCCTTGTTTCCTGTGCCCCCTTCAACCCACTTGAATCTCCCCTTCTCCAGAAACCGCAGCTCCCGGGGCTGTGTCCCCGCTCTCTGCTGCACGGGCCTGCATTCCCTGCCAACCTCAGTTTCGGCTTCTCTCTCTCTAATCCTGTCTGCCTCCTTATAGATGGTATCTGCCGGCTTGACCAGTGGATGCTCTGCCACCTGTTTGTTGCCCAGGCGTTAACCAGTCTGCTTCCACCTCCCGAGTGTTTACCATCAGTAGCATCATGCACTTGCCAGCGTTTCTCTTTGAGACCACATCTTCTGTGCTTCTCATTCACTTATCGTAGTACCTCATTGCAGCAGTCTGTTACCTCAGTTGCTTTCGCTTTCTGTAACCTTCCCCTTCTCTGTCTTGATGCCCCCTCCTTACCCACATGGACCGCCACTGCCCTTCCTTGCCCCCTTGCTTCTCTCGCCCTCCATTGCAGTTGGCCTGGCAAAGCCCCAATCCTGGATGGGTCTGGCCATCCCTCATCTCTGTAGCGGAGCATCTGAATGTTGCTGGAAAATGTGGCACAGCTGAGCTAACTTGTCACTTCAGGTTCATGGGTACAAGCTTCAAATGAGCACACAGCATGCTCAAAAATCCTACTTTATGACTCAGAACTTTTCTCTTCAGCTGTCTTAGATGTCTTTTTTTAACTACTTCTTTCTCCAAACCTCCCACCCCAGCCGATGACCTTACCTCTCCAGCAGAAACAGAAGCCCACAGAGAAGAGCTGCTTCGTGTTCTCACCCCCAGATCTGTAGATCTACCCCAAATCTGGGCCCAGTCTTTTTGCTTCTCTTCTTTACAGTGATGAGGAGACAGTTCCTGTCTCCTTGTCAAGCGCTGGCTCCTCCTGGGTGCTTCCTCTGCTCTGAATTGCTTCCCCTTCTTGACTGGATCATTCCCATCAGTCTTTACTGATATTGGTTAGGTACAGAGCTTCTTAGCCGAGTCTGTGGGCTGCCTTTTCTGCCCCTCTCCCATATAGAAAACAGGAGTCCGTGCACCAGGTAGGAGAAATGGTTATCTGTAGTTTCCCTAACCTTGAACTGGAATTTGGCAGTTATCCATTATAAATGTGGCAGGTATTGCAGTATCTAGGAGCTGGTCATTAGTGAAATCCTGGCTATCTTTACCTGACAGTTTACTTGCTATAGATGTCTGGAGTGGCGTTTTACATACATCAGCTCTTCAAAATTGTCATTATTTTCTCTGTTATTTAATGCATTGAGCAAGAAGCTGATTTACTGTGTTGCTCTATCACAGATAAAACACTTTTTTGGTGCCTCCTTCAGTGCAACTACTTTCCTTTATAATCATGTATGTTTTATTTTATGCATTTAAAAATATTATTCTGAGGAAGGATCGGTAGATTGCACCATATGGCCAAAAGGCTTGGTGGTACCTGGAGGGTCAGCCTGGTTGCAGGAACACCTGGATGTGGAAATAACCACCCGGAGCCGCCCCCTTCCTGCGCTGCGAGGCCCCCTCTGCTCAGAGTTTGAGCAGAGTCTGCGCAGAGTCTGAACGTGTGTGTCCCGTTTCTTCCTCCCTTCAGGCTATGCTCCACCCCCTCCACCTGGACTGCCTGCTCCTGACAGGGGCTGGTCGCTTGCTTGGTTCCCACACCCAGCAGTCCCGTCTGTCCTCATGCCTCCTTTTGGTTGAATTTGACCTAGTGGATTATTTCCTGGTGGTTTCTGGACCCCTTCATTCTCTTGTTTTCCGCCTCACCTAATCTTGACATGTTCTTTCTGCCTCACCAGCATCTAAGAATTACTTCTCTTGGTTGGTCTTGGATGACATTACTTTGCTTACTTTTTTTTTTTTTTTTTAAGATTTATTTATTTATGCTTACTGAACTGGGGTACAGGCCAGAAGTGTGGTGGGTGAGAGGATTCACCAGAGACAGAGTGGGAAGCAGAAGAGGCCGGCTGATGAAGTACACTGCTGAGGGGAGCAGTGGGCAGGTCAGGAGAGGTCTGCCATGCCATGTGGTCGCCTCTGGGCTGGTGGGTATCGAACTCATGCTGAAGTGGCTTTAGCTTCTTAGTGCTGCGCTTTAACCCAGTGTGCCGCAGGGAGGGCCTATTGCCCTTTCTCCATACAAGTGTGGATGTGATTTTTCTCCTCAACCATTTGAGAGTCACAGACTTGATGCCCCTTTGTCCCTGACTGCTTCAGTGTATGTCCTAAAAACAAGAACATCCTCTTACACTCTACCCCGGTTCAGTCATCCAGTTGAGGAAATCAGGGTCACTACAGCCCATTCACCTCATTTACAAACCTGATGTAAGTTTTGCCCCTTGGAGCCAAAATATCCCCCAAGTCAGATTCATTCCAGGACCACACCTTGCCTTGAGTTGTCATATCACTTTGCTTTTTAAAAATCCAGAACGGTTTCTTTCTTTTTTTTTCTCTCTTAAAGATTTGTTTGTTTATGCATACAGAACTGAGGTACAGGCCAAAGGTGCAGGGGGTGAGAGGAGTCACCAGAAAATCCAGAACAGTTTCTCAGCTTGTCTTTGATTTCCTTTTCTTTCTTTCTGTTTCCTTTTTTTTTTTTTCCCTTTTTTCTCTTTTACACATTGAGGTAACATTCATTTGGAAACTTGCATACTTGTCACCTGCAGTTTCCCCGCTCCACAACTGAGTCTGTCACCCCACACTCACCACCGATGTCCCGTCTGTCTTTGAGTTTAGTGTCTTGACATTCTTGCATAAGTCGTATTGTAGAATGCCTTTCCCGATGTCCTCCTCTGAGTGCAAACGCCCTCACTCGTTTGGACAGGACTATGCCACAGGAGTGTGAGCTGCTCCAGACACCCTGTCAGGAGACTGGGTCAGCCCTTGTCTGTTACTGCTGGTGGTCACTCTTTTAATACACGTAACACTTAACATCACAGCCATCTTACAGTATACAGTTGAGAGGCACTAAGTTCATGCAACCATTGATGCTGTTTTTTAGCCAATTAGTTTTAACTGCCGTTGATGACTTCTGCTTAACACAGTCATTGTCATTGACAAATGATTATTTTCTGATTTCATTCTCCTTCAAGTTTGTTTGTGACCTGTGGCTTTTAATGGCAGGTATGTCCTGATGAAACCTACGTTTACATGTCCACACCTTTCTCCTGCACTGCAGGCTTTTGATTTTCATCTCCTGTGTCCCAGCCTGTTCTCTGCTAGTGTCTGGGGAAACTAGCAAGAGACCATGACCATTTCCCCAGTTGCGTACAGCCAATAGTTAGGTGTCACTTTTGGCATTTCCTTTGTTTTCTCGCTCACTAAACCTCCAGTACATCAGTAAATTCTCTCTCTCCTATCTCCCAGTCCATCTCCAGAGCCTAAGCAAGTGTTACAAAGTAAGACCTGCCTCCTTGCCGTAAATCTAGTCTTACTGGGATACAGCCAGGCTGTTCAGCAACTTGTCATGAGGACCATTTTCACGTTAGAGGAGCAGAGTTGAGTGGTTGCTGCTGAGATCACAATATGTCCCACAAGCCTAAAAGCATTTACTCTGTTCCTTTAAGAAAATGTTTGCTGACCTCGCATCTGAACAACTTCGATTTGCTTGGACAATTTTAGTAGACACTTGCTTTTAACTGACCTCCCTACTGCAACTCTCGTAAGAGTCAAAATGGTCTTTTAAAGCAAATAATGTGATAAGCCCGTTAAAAACCTCTATGGCATCCCAGTGCTCTTAGAATAAAATGAACTCTTAACTTTGTCCATGAAGGAGTGCTCTGATCTCAGTTCATCCTCTCCAACCTGAAGTTAGCCATTGTGCTCACGGTCACTGGCCACATCAGTCTGTTTTTGGAACAGTCTAAGCCATTTCCAGCCTCTGGGTACTTATCCTGATTCCTTTGCCCGAAACACGGTACCCCTGGGACTTTGCATGTCTGATTCATTCTTGCCCTTCGAGTGCCTCACAGTGACCTCTGACCACCCCGCCAACATTGTTCTCTCCTTACAGAGCAGCATATGTCTCCTGCACGCTGTCTGGTGCCCGCTGTCTGAGCTGGGGCCTGCCATGGTATAGATGCCCAGTCCATATTTGTTCAAAGAATGAATGAGTGAACGAATGAACAGGCCAATAGATTTCAAAGTCATTTGCATTTTCTGTTTTTTTTTTTGAGATATGTTTCAATATGACAAGTCTTTTCTGCATATTTTAGAGTTCAGCAATTTTGGATGTTAAACAGTCACTTTTGCTGATATATTCTCTTTGAAATTACCTTTAGGAATTCCTTATTTAAACCAGGAAGAGGAAAGACAGCTAAGAGAGCAGTATGATGAGAAGCGTTCCCAGTCCAGCGGGGCGGGGGCCCTGGCCTACGTGTCTCCCAACACCTCCAAGTGCCCCGTGACGATTCCCGAGGACCAGAAGAAGTTCATTGACCAAGTGGTGTAAGTTCCTTCACGGAGACCAAATGTACATTGAGCGATGTGTGCAGGCCAGGACTCAAGCTGCATGGCACCACACGGCATGTCTCAAATGTGGGTGGTGGCGTGTGGAGGGCTGGGCCGGGCTCATCTGAGGTCGCCAATTGTGACCGCAGTTGTGTGTATGGTGCTGAGACCTGCTGCGTGTCACCAGGAAGGGGACTGTGAGCAACTGACCTTCTCTACGACCACTAGCTGTTTTCCCTGAAGGCTGGAGAATAAAACAGGCCCGTCCACACATTGCATAGTGCCCACTACTTTTTCTCACAGCATTTCTGACAAGCTGGCACAGTGACTGACTTTGCTTAGTTTATTTCTCCATATAGCTGCTTTATTAGAAAATGAAAATTTAAGTCACTGCTATCGATGATTCCTTGAGAAGTGGTCAAGGATTCGTCAACAACAGCTAGAAAAAGTATATGCCCAAATGAAGTATTTTTCTTTAAATACTGAACTAAAAAGTGATGACATGATTTGATAACATTACTTTGTCCTGTTCATATTTAGATTGAGTGTGAGGATGATGATTGTGAGGGTTGCTGACTTGTGTATGGCTGATCATGTATTTATTCCAATTCTGATTTTTTCAGAGAGAAAATAGAAGATTTATTACAAAGTGAAGAAAATCAGAACTTGGACTTAGAGCCGTGTACCGGGTTAGTTGCCCTGAACGTTTACCTGTGTTCTTTTTTAGGAAAGGTAGAGGGCTTTTGGCATGTGCTGTATTTGGTCTTTTAAAAACACCTTCACAAACAGTCCTCTTATTACAGACCTGTCCCCAGGGGGTAAGCACTAACTTTAGCATTGCAGTGATGCACTGAGACCTTGAATGCGGGCTTTGTCTGCATTCAAGGGGGAAAACCATCATGCAGCTTTCACTTTAAATTATGCTCAAAAGCAGCCTGATTATTTCAGTCTGAAGGAGTGAGCTGTACAAGAAGGTTTCTGAGGAGAAAAATATGCACACAGATACTTCTCCTTTTTAACGTCTCTCTGCAGTAACAAGCAGAATTCCACGGAGTCAGCACCTTGAATATCTTTCTTTTACTGGCTTGCAGATGAGATTTAATGCATCTTTCTATTGTAAGCTCCCTTTATTAAGCTACTGCAAGTAATGATTTCATTAGACAGAAATATTTACCTTTCTAGAAAAATGTGAAAAGACATTTTGATGAAGATAAGTGGTGAGGAATTAACCCACCTTAGACATCCTGCCTGTTTTTGTTTGTGTATCACCTGTCACTGCTAATGAAGAAGCTTTTAAAAATTAAGTGCCTGGCCCCTCCCTGGTGGCTCAACAGGTTAAAGTGAGCACTACGAAGCTAGCCACTGTTGCGTCAGCATGAGTTTAATCCCCAGCCAGGGACACATGGTGTAGCAGACCTCTCCTGATCCACTCTCTGCACCTCTCAGCAGTGTACCTTGTCAGTCTGCCAGTTCTGCTCCCCACCCGGTCTCTGGTGAAGCCTCTTACTGCCCTTGCAGTTCTGTATTCATAAATAAATAAAATCTTTTAAAAAAATTAAGTGTCTTTCCAAAAGAAAAATACCAGAATTTTCACTCATAGCAGAAGCATTAAAGACCAGGGCGGGGAAATAATAATAATGAACAACTATATACCACAGACATTTTACGGGATGGAACAGGGAATGGGATCAAAAATGGGGGGCCGGGGAAGAAATGCACTGGACTGTGGTGATGACACATGTGAATTGGCGATGGAAGTCCACAGGGATTACTACTGAGATGGAAAAAGGCATAAAATGATGTAAAAATAAACGATTACAATAAAAATTAAAAAAAAATTAAGTGTCTTTCCATTCAGGTCTTGATCAGTTAAGATTTTCTTTTATTGAGCCAAAATCAATACCTTTTCTGTTCTTTTTTTTATAGGTTCCAAAGAAAACTAATTTATCAGACTTTGAGCTGGAAGTAAGTGTTTATCTTATTAAATAACAGCTCTCTGAGCAACCCAGAATTTGGTAGCTATGATCCCTTAGCTTTCTGTTACATTCTGAAATTCTGTAGTTCTTGGTGATTCAACCACACCAGGATCTTGGGCATGCTTCAGTCTCTCGTCATTTCCATCCGCTTTCTGAAGTTGAATGCCTACGTAATTCATTTTTTTGTTTTTGCTTCTTAGTGGATGCATCAAAGCCTTATCTATTAACTGTTGGATGTATAATATTTTGGTTTCTTGAAGATATATAATAAAGATTTGATTTTAAGACCTAGGAATTACTTAGGTGAATCCTGTTTCTAAAGGGATTCTTAACTTAGAGTGGCTTTCTAAAGGGTGGTTCAGCAAGTCTGTGAATCCCATGAAATAATACCAAAATTTCATGCATGGGTTTTTCTGGGGATGTTTCCGTTCATTTCAGTGTGCTTTCAAGTGGGTCTCTAACCCCAAAATTGAACATCAGTAGTAGACAGGAGTGACTTGATTGGCACTTTTATTCTTCTGTTAGAGTCCGCCGATGACATGTACACAGAATCACTTTGAAGGAAACTGGAAGGGAGCCGTAGTCATTTGACCAGCTTCTTCCTGTCCTATTATCCTCGTGGGGTCCAGATCTCACATGTCTTGGCTGCTGCAAACTAACTTGCCAAAAACAGCAGAGTTACTCATCTGAAATCCCCTCTGTAAATACCCCACACCATCTAAAAGATCTTTAAAGTTTCAGTTAGGAAATAGGTGCAATATGCAATATTTGACTGTGTGGTAATGAGTTGACTGTATTACATGATGGGAGATACTTTAGAAAGTGCCTAAGCCCTAAAAACTTAATTTGAAATCAGATATATTCCTGTGTGTTTAATAGCAGAAGTAAGGAGATATTTAGCATGGAATTGATTTGCTGAAAAGTCATTGTAGTAACATTTGCTTTATATTTAATAAAATTTATTTAATTAACTTATAGTTACATAATAGCTTTTAAAATACTTAAGGTTTTAGCTGTCCTTGTCTCATCTACTGATGTCAGTTTTCTTTCTTTAGGTATCCCAAAGGCATTCATGTTGAGACTTTAGAAACTGAAAAGGTAACGCCAAGAATTATCCAGGGCTAACAGTCAAGCCACGGAATGACTCCTTGATATGTGAAAGTAGAAATTTATATCTGAGCGGTGTACATGGGTGCAGGCAGCCCAGGCCAAGCCATTTCCCCTGCTGGCCTTGTTTTTCGCATTTATACATTGTGGGTGACAGGCATGATAACGTAGCCTAGACTATTTTAGGACTTTTTAAAGGTCCAAAGAATAAATTGAAGTGAATGTGCTTTGTAAACTTGAACGTGTGCTATTGTTAGCCATGTTCTTTTAATGGCAGAAAACTATAAAGATTTGCTTGAATAAATTGCTTCCCTTATGTGGGTAGGAAAACTAAGTTTTAGAATCTGGGGCTTATGCACAAACACAGCTGTTGTCGTGTATTCCCAGGGTGAGCTGGGAGAGCTGTGATGGGTGGGCTGACGGTGGGTTCTGTTGCAAATTTTGGAATTTAGTTGTTCTTAGTCAGATTTCAAATCAGATAAGAGATTAACTAAATTAGAAAGCAATCTTGTTGAAAGATAAGTCCCAAACTTACCTTTGACCTGGTAGATTTTTGTGTTAAAAATTCAATATATGAGAAAGAAGGCACTAGTTACCTGGAAGGTTGAAAATCTAAGATTTTTTCATTCATTAATAAAATAGATTGGAGAAATCTTATTTTTAAGCTATTTAATAACTCATATTCAATGTAATATTTAAGTGTTCATGTTAGAAGGCATTTTATTGTCATAGCCTGTTGATACTTTTAAGTGTCATCTTTTGGGTTGAGTTAATAAGCCCAGAAAAGTATCACGGACATTCAGAGATGAAATTTTGATCGCATTTCAAAATAAATTCAGAGAGTTTCACTCATGAAGCCTGCACAGTGATAGTTTTTAATGGAGGCAGATTCACTTTGGGGGTCAAGTTGCTTCCAGAAAATCGCACATCTGCTTTGTGTCTTTTAGAAAGAGCGGTACATAGTTATCAGCAAAGTGGATGAAGAGGAGCGTAAGAGAAGAGAGCAGCAGAAACACGCTAAAGAGCAGGTGATTATGTTTGTCTTTTGCTGGGGGGCAGCACAGATACTTATTTATTCCTTTCTATAGCCCTAGATTATAGGTTGAATTCAGTTTAATGAGTAGATTTCCATCTTAAAAGAACTGAATCAGTAGCAAAAGCCTGGCCTAGAATGCTGGGAAGTTAAGCTTAAGTGTTTAGATGGAGCCAGAAGCTAACTTCACATCTCCACTGACTCAGTCTTGAAGAAATTGCTCTTAATATCATTCAAATTGTGTGTCCCTAGCGTCACCCCCATTAACTAATAACTGCCCTAACTTCAGGTCCAGCTACTACTGTTTTATTTTTTTAAGATTTTGTTTATGCATACAAGAACTGGGGTACAGGACAGAGATGCAGGGGGTGAGAGGATTCACCAGAGACAGAATGGGGAGCAGAACGGCAGATCTACCGAAATACACTGAGGGGTACACTGGGTGAGACAGGAGAGGTCTCCTGAGTCATGTGGGTCAGATCCTTAGCTGTGGATTGAAGTCATGTTGCAATGGCTACAGATTGCTTTATAGTGCTATGCTTTAACCCCTTGTGCCACCAGGGAGGCCGCTATTGCTGTTTGTAAAGCACTGCTTAGAACATCTGATTTGGGAGGTTAGGGTGACAGTGGGCAGGTTTGTGTTGTTGCAGCACACCCTGGCTGCTGCATGGGGAATGGATTTGAGTGGGTCAGACTGGAGGCAGGAGTACCCGTTAAGCTGTGGAGTAACTACCTGCAGATGGCCGAGACCCAGAGTAGGAGAGTTAGGTGGAATCTGGACGTTTCAATAAAAGGTAGATTTGGGAACATGTGATTGAATTTGGATGGCAGAAGCAGGGAGAGGAAGGAAGCTACTCAAATTAGAAATTTGGGCAACTGGGCAGCTTGCTGTCAGTTCACTTGACTGGCTCGATAGTGTGGGAGACACAAGCTGAGGGGCACAGGGGTGGGGTTTGCGGTGGTGTCGGGGAATGTCACCATCAAATGCACATAAGGCAGGGCCACAGCTGGTGGCTTTCACCTTGACAAGGTACAAAGAAGTACTTTTAGCTTTAGACAACTTACTGCTTATACCAGTCAGACATGTTGCCTGCTGGTGGTTCTTGCCCCCCACACCTAAAAGACAGTGTGAAGTAGCCACAGCTACTTCATTGCGAGTTTGATCCCAAACCCCTCAGGTGACTGACACACATGGCACAGCAGACCCCTCCTGTCTCCCCGCTATTCCCCTCAGCAGTGTACTTCATTGATCTGCCTGTTCTGCTCCCTACTCTGTCTCTGGTGAAGCCTCTCACGCCCCTGCACCTCTGGCCTAAACTCCAGTTATGTATGCATAAGTAAATCTTAAAAAAAAAAAAAAAAGCGTGAGCTTAAGGGACCAGTGATGGCATAGTGAGCTGTGAGAAGCCAGTTCTAGACCACAGCCAAGAGTGGTGCTATTCGGTACCCCTGCAGCTCTGCCCTGCAGGGGCTGGGGCACAAGGCCCGGGCCTGTAAGAACCTGGAGGCAGTAAGAAAGCCAAGCCGGGCCTCCCAGGAGAGAGGTGGAGGCTGGTGGATGGTGGCCTCATGGCAGCTTCTTGCAAGCCTCTGCTTCCAGTCCTTCCCTTCTGGGGCATTCTAGCAAGAGTAGCTGCAGCTCATACCTGTGCCTGTGGGAATGAGGGTGTGGTGGATTTGGATCTGTGCACAGCCTCTGGGCACCAGGGAGGAGCTCTCCCGGGAAGGTGGAAAAAGGTGTTCCATTCTGTGTTTTGACATTGAAGGCTGGTGTCCTGCAGGACAACAGGGGAGAGGTGAAGGCAGGGGAGAGGCGAAGGCAGATTTGCTGGCAGAGAGCAGAGTGGTTGAGAGCGCCTGCGAGGGGAGCGGAGAGGGCAGGCGGAGGCTGGCGAGCAGCACTGGCACGCAGGTAGGGGCAGGACATCGTACCAGGAGAGGAGCGCGACACAGCAGCCACGGGAAGAGCACTTGGAAAAGGGGTGTTCACGACCCGCGAGAAACCGGGGTGAGGACTGAGGCGTGGCTGTTGGGTTCAGCATTGGGAGTATTTTTTCTTGTTAAAAATATTCTTTAATTTTTTTTCAGTTTTAATTGTGGTAAAATATACATAATTTTACTATTTCAGCTCTTTAAAATTTTTTTAATGTTATAATAATTTATTTTTCATCATTTTGTGCCTTTTTCCATCCCAGTTGCAATCCATGTGGGCTTCCCATCACCAGATCACCCGTGTGCCATCACCATAGTCCAGTGCACTTCCCTCCCCCCACTTGTTTCCTTTTTTAAAATTTTTTAATTATTTATTTATTTATGTATAGAAGAGCACGCTGCCCATAGGGGTGGGCAGAGAGAGGTGTGAGAGGATTTACCAGAGACAGAGTGGGGAGCAGACAGCAGATTGAGTGAAATATACTGGTGCATCTCAGCTCTTTCTAGTGCCAACCTGGCCACCTGGGCGAGTGGATGTGGAATCCGCACAGTGACCTGCAGCGTGACCTGTCTTGTCTGTGCCAGATGGGGAAGCCTCTTCTCAGAAAGGACTTCCGAACACGAAACATCTACCACACCTCGCTCATCGTCACCAGTGACCAACATATTATTAAGCTTTATCAAGGATACTAGATAAGATTCAGTCCAGTAAGCTGAGAATGCAACACCGTTTTCCCCCATCTGGATTCTTCCACTCAGGGAAGCACTAGGTTGACATGTCCCTGGCACACGGTCCTCTTAGTTATCCATTTTGCAACATGTGACAATTTCCTTCTCTTTAAGACTTAGTACTTTTCCATTGTATGGACAGACCACGCTTTCTTTACCATTCATCTGTGGATGGACACGCCTATCTTTTGGTCATTGTGAATGATGCAGCTATGAATACAGGTGTACAGGTCTCTCAGAATCCCTGTTTTTAGTTTCTGGGTGTACACCTAGAAGTGGAATTGCCGGATGCTGTGGCAGCTCTGTGTTTCCGATAGTAAGGACACAGCCTCCTGGTTTCTGCAGTGACCAGAATGGTCACCTGGTGCCTCATTTCTCCACAGCCTCATCAGCATTTGTGATTAGCCTGGGGTGTTTGAAGAGGGGGGATGTCTGAGAGCAGAGGGCTGCACGTGGCTGGCAGTTAGACCAGTGCTTGTGAGAGGAGGGAAGTGTTTTAAACTACTTAGCTGTGAAGCGACACAGGAGGGACAGTGGTTGGATGAAGCTTAGAGGTAAGGAAGGAGTTTCAAGGTAGGAGGGAAATTGAGCCTATTTAAACAATGTTAGCAAGAAAATGGGAGAGAAGGAATTGCGTGGGTGTGAGTCTCAGAGTGCTATGGTCACATTATAAGAGTGCATTTTGACAAGGAAAAAAAATCAAGAACAATGGGGTGCTTGATTTTGATGAGTCAGTCGTCTGGCTTTCCTGGGAACTTGGTGCAGTACTGAGGGTAGCCAGCAGGCGGCAGCCTTTTAAGGTTGGCGTTTTTAAGTCCTGTTAGACTTGGAAATTTCAACACCTGATGTGAAGGTGGGAACAGCCTAGGCACTGTTATTTTAGTCACTGACAAATCATTTGCCACTTGCTTACCTTAGTTTCCAAAGCAGAAGAAAGGTTTGTTCAGCAAGCCTATCAGTTGATTGTGGTGATTGATTTATCATCTGCATAACTCAATGTAAAATTTCAGTGCTTTTCTTTTGGGCTAGGTTTTAACCCATTCAAATTCGTTTGTTTACTCAGGAGGAACTGAATGATGCGGTGGGATTTTCTAGAGTCATTCATGCCATTGCTAATTCGGTAAGTGAACCAGTTTTTCTTTTAAACTAGATTCCTCAATATAACATACAAGGTGTCAAACCTAATCACCATTGCAAATGAATCATCGGTCACATGTAGCATGTGTACCTGGAATGGAGGAAGAAGTTAGCACTTCAGGTAGATTATTGTGACAAGTACTTGGGGAGACATTATTGCTGAGGACTATTCCGCCCTTTTTGCAGCAGTCATAAGCGGATTCTACTGTGATGGCCACATATGGCTACCTAAATAATGTTTATTATTCTCAAAACCAGTAAGACGTAAAGTAAAAGAGTGAGGAATATGGAGAGAAACAGTCAGGTATTTGAGCTGTTTGCATCCCTGAATGGAAGAATCTAGATGGGGGGAAACGGTGTTGCATTCTTCTGCCTAACTGGGCTGAATCTTACCTGATATCCTTGATACGTCTTAAAAACACGTTGGCCACTGTGGAAATGTGCAGGAGGGCTCCAAGCGAGGTGTGGGAGACGTTTCTTGTTCGGAAGTCCTTTCTGAGAAGAGGCTCCCCCTCTGGTGCAGACGAACCAGGCCATCTGGTGCCGACCATTTGCCTGTGTGCCCAGCTGGTACCTGAGACTTGGGGGTGGGATTCTCCCCCAAGAGGAGAGGCAGTCACCTTGTCCCCGAGATGCTGAGCTTTTGCATCAGGGAAGCCGCAGAGGCTGTCCCACCACCAGGGGCCAGCTTGTCGAAACACCGTGTGGGGGTCAGCTGACCAGGAGCTCTTTCTGAAAAGTAAGTCAGGGATTCACGGGGAAAAGAAAGATAGATAAGCCCGGAGAGAAGCAAAGTGCAAGTCTCTTCAGAAGTGGCTCAGGAGGCAGCTATGCAGGGAAGCAGAGGAGCTTCCGTCACACTGGCTCGCGTTGTGCACCGCAGACCTCACCAAGTGGCGGCTTTCCCGGCTGGTGCTGGCAGCGCAGAGATGGCCGCGCTTGGCGCCCAGCTCTCCCATGGTCGGCACGGCCGTGTGGCCGGCGCTCGAGAGCGGGACATTTGTTCCCCTTTCATAAATTAAAGATCTTAGCTTGCTCAGCCCGTGCTGCGTTTCCTCTTTGTTGTCTTTTTCTACAGAATTATTCATACTAATGCTACACTGCTGGCCAGTGACAGCTAAAGTCACAAAGTGATGAACAGAAAGTCCTATTTATGAGTGATTCAGCTGTTTGAAAGTGTAAAGTCACTGACCTTAAGAAGATGGTTATAGTTAAGCTCTATAAAGCCAGGGAACAGCAAGTACTCTTAAATGTTATATCGCACTAAAGTTTGTTCCTGTCACTCTCAGTGAATCTGTGCTTTCTAGTTTTTAAAAACTCGCAGAAAAGTTGCACAAATTGTATAGACTGTCCACTCATCCTTCACTTGGCTAGCCCTCACGTTACATCCTAGATCAGAAAATTAATATTGTGACAATTAACTATATGAGCTGCAAACCCTATGTGAATTTCAGCAGCTTTCCAGCTGAGTCCTTCTGTTCACAGCGTTGTCTCCCATCCCATACTGCATTTGCTTGTTCTTTCTTCTGGTTTCCTCAATTCTGTAACATTTTTGTCTTTTATAACCTTGATGTTTCTAAAGAGTATCCATGAGGATTTTGTCTCAGTGGGGATGAACTTTGACTTAGGTAAATGAAATGAAAGTTCCTTCTGTTTAATTCAAAATGTTATTTTTGCCTTTTAGTATTGCTATGAATGTATCTTTTAAAAAAGAAAGTGAGTTGTTTTAAAGAATATACTAGTAGAAGAGGTATTGGCGTTTGTTCATAAATTGCTCAATAATAATTGAAGTCAGTTAGCATTATAGTGACTTTTTAAACTTGAGCTCATCAAGAAAAATATTACTTTTGATTCTTAAAGGTGACAAGATAAGTAAATATCAGCCAAAAAGAGCAATCAAACAAAATCATTTGGAGCTTTTACTTTGCACTGGAGTTAACACTCCAGAACTGAAGAATGAAGCCAGCCCTAACTTGTTCATATTATAATTTTTCAAAAATGTCAAAAGTAAGTTTAGTGCAGTTCCTTCACAGAATCTGAACCATGCATTTCATTCTCAAGCCTTAATATAATTTTGTATCCAGAAGCCCTTTCCCTAACCTTGACTTTCCTTTTTTTTTTTCTCCTTGACTTTCTTTAGGGAAAACTTGTGATCGGGCACAATATGCTCTTGGATGTCATGCACACAGTTCACCAGTTCTACTGCCCTCTCCCTGCGGTAAGTGACTGTCAGCTGGGTCAAAAACAGACCATTCTCCGTTCTCAGGAAAGTGTGCTCTGCCGGGGTGCAGCTTCCATGTCCGTATCAGGCCCCCAGAGAGGGTCTCCCATCTTGAAGACAGGGTCTTACCGGCCACGTAAGGGCTCTTCATTCATCTCCCGTTGCTAGAGCAAGGCTGAATGCTTTGTCTTTAAGCCAGTGGTCTGTTCAGCTGGTGCGAGCAGGCCCCTGGGCCATCTTTATCTGGGCACCGCTTGCCTGGGACGCAACAGGGCTGAGGAGGGTGAGTGGTGCCTTCGGACAAGTGCACTGGACCAGCATCTGCCAATCTTGCCTGCCTCCGGGAGGCTGCCTGCCTGGGTTCCCCTTAGAGGGCTGGAGCTGACTGAGGAGGGATCTTTCCTGTCTCCCCGCTGTTCCCCTCAGCAGTGTGTTTCAGTAGATCTGCCTTTTTCACTCCCCACTCTGTCACTGGTGAATCCGCTAATCCCCCGCCCCTGGCCTGTACCCCAGTTCTTCTATGCAAAATAAATAAAATCTTTAAAAAGAAAGAGAGAGCTATGACTGAAGGTTTTCTACATTTAATAAAAACTTTTCCCTTTCCCATTTCAGCCATAAAGTGCTTAAATTTGTCTATTTTGACTATGTGGAAATTTTATATCTGATCACGTGCTTCCTCATAGTGAGGATATTGTGACACTTTAGGAAGGTATTATTAACTAAAATTGGTGGTTTAGCTGCAGGGGCTAACTGAGGCTTCACAGTTTGTTTGAGAAGAGGCTACGGAATTTGAAATACTAATGTATTTTCTTTTAATACTGAATGGGTTAGTACCATTGTAACTGGTCTTTTTCTTGTTTTTAGGACTTAAATGAGTTTAAGGAGATGACAACTTGTGTTTTCCCCAGGTAAGTTTTCTTTGAGGCTTTGTCTTTCACTTACAGTGATCATGGCGTATATAAGTAGGTCTGTAGTCATTTATTAAACCCTTACAGTCGTGATTAGTTCACATAAGCCAGGAAGTGGTTTAATACCTCCAACTTTGTGATGGCGTGCTCTTATTAGTGATTTTGGTATTCTGTTGAGAATTAAAATACGAATGGAGACTCATCCCATAGCTGGCTGTCTGAAGAGATACTGAAGTTTTCTTGAGTTGACTCTTGTCTTTCTTGTAGATGGAATTGTCCCATTGAGACTATTCTGTAGTCAAGAATTGTCTGGCCAGATATTTTTTTCCCCTCAACTTTAAGTCATAATCTTTATTAGTATTTCTCCATGTCACTATTACACAAGTTCTACTAAGTCACATGTTTGAAGGTCACATGCCAGCCCTGTGGTCCCTACAGAGCACAGGTCTGTGTGTGAGGACAGGTGCAGATGGGAGGTACAGCGTGGAGCGTGGCTCCTCCAGCCAGGCTCTGTCCTGCTTATTTGTATGGAAAGAAAGAGTTGTCATATTAGTCTGTGTCCTTTTTTTTAAATGCACTTTTAAAATTTTATGTATACAAGAACTGTGGTATAGGCCTGAGGTGCGGTGGGTAAGAGGATTCACCAGAGACAGATTGGGGAACAGAACAGGTGGATCGACTGAAATATACTGCTGAAGGGAGTGGCGGGCAGGTCAGGAGAGGTCTGTGCCATGTGGGTCACCTCCCTGGCTGGGTATCAAGCTCGTGCTGCAGTGACTATGGTTAGCTTGATAACACCGAGACTAAACTAACCGTGTGCTACCAGGGAGACCCAATCTCTCTTTTTTTTTTTTAACTTAAATGACTTACTGTTTTAACATCTGAAACAGAATAGCAAGGGGTAACAGAGATAGCTTGAAACTACCAAATATGTATTTTGACCTCCACAAAATTATATTGTACAAATCTGGCAGTTGTAGCAGAAACTGACAGCCTGGGAATGTCTGACCTACAGTATTTGAACTATATGAAACCATGACACACATGGACTTTCTGGAGATTGGCATAGCCACACACTCTCAGCAGACATGCCAATCTAGAACTTGTGTGCTGAGTGTGGGGAGTGTGGGCTCCCCTACAGCCACCAGGAGCTCCTAATTGATGGGGCTTGGTTCCTGGCCACATGCACTGGGGGGGCCTGAACTAGTTCACAATGGCTCATATGCTAAATTCTCCTCTCCACTTTTAAGACAATAGGCTATTCATGAGTCAAGCACATTTGAACATTAGTATACATTTTTGTTTACCTTATTGAAAACTCTTTTGTTTTTAGACTCTTGGATACTAAATTGATGGCCAGCACACAACCTTTTAAGGTATTTTAAAAATTTGAACTATTACCGATAAGCTATATTTTGGAATTTTTGAACTGTGACTAAGAACTTTGGAATTCTCATCTATTTAAATGTCATTTCCAAATATATCCAAACAGAGAGAAAAGAACAACAACAAAAAAATTGGAAACGACTGGAAAGAACTATACCAAAATGTGAACAGCAGTTGTCTTTGGGTGGTGGAACTATGTTGTTTTTCTACTTTATTCTTTTTCAATCTAAATTGTTAATGTTAGAGTGTATAATGTATTTTTGAGTAGATCACACATACATGTGCTTCTCCCTTTGTTTTCCTTATTTTATATATTTTGGATCCATCTTATAATCAAGAAAATTCAGGTAAAAGTGTAATCGCCTGCTACTTTGAAGTGGCCTTAGACACCTGCATGAAATGAATGGCAGGTGTAGCTTCTGGCCAGAGGTCAGACTGATGCTTAATGAGTCTGTAGAAATCTCCTTTCACGTGACAACGTTCCTTATGGTGAGAATCAAACCCGCAGCTTGTCTTGCACCAGCAGAGGTGCCTGTGTTTCTTTAAAGAACACAAGGAGGCAGCACCAGGTTTTTTGTTGTTGTTGTTTCCTTCTGGAAGCTCAGTGTAGGTTGCAGTGAGATGAACCCTCGTAATTCTCCGTCTTCTGGTTTGCAGGATATCATTAACAACACATCCCTTGCTGAACTGGAAAAGCGCCTGAAGGACACACCTTTCAACCCTCCTAAAGTTGGTAAGAATATAGTGATTGAAAACCCCTGGCCTCTTAGTGCTAATTGTTGGTGTATATTGTAAGAGAAAGATGAAACTGCATTCAAATCGATCTCATGCTGTTGCAGATTTCTGTTAACTGTTCCGTGCCCTTTGTTGAGGTCCTGCTTTCTGAATAAAAATGGTCTTTATGTTAATCCAGTTGGTTAGTAGCCTGTTCATTGAGAAGTCTAACAATTAAAGCCTCAGGGCTTTTATTTCCTAATGCTTGGAATTCTCCCAAAACCCAGTGTGTTCTCTTCTCTATGGTGCATTGTTCAAGTAGAGACAAAGAGTTGGTGATTAATTGCCAGGGGTAGGATGAAAATATATTTTGTGCCTCAGAAAGCCCAGGAACCGGGTTTATAGCTGAGGAAGGAGAGTGTCCAGCTTGGCTTCCTCGTGACGTGGTATCAGGGCAGAACAGCAGCAGGGAGGACAGCCACAGCAGGGAGATGTCTCTGGGTGGAGAGTGGTGCCGCGTCCCTCACCACTACCCAGGTGTTTGGTGACCCTCCCAGGTGCTCGTCCTTCTTGGCGACCTCTGCGGTGGCAGATACTGTCATGGGGGCTGTGTCTAGTAAACTCCCGAAGATGTAGATAATAGGATTAATGGCTCTGAAACAGGAATGGATTATAGTTACTTACCTCCCTTTCTGGGTAATAGTCCAAAAAAGGAATTAAGGAAAGGCAGGGGTGGGGGTGCTAGAACTTTCCTATGACCATATAACGGGAGTAATTGCTTTCGGAAATACGTGGTTTTGATGGTGGTAGAGTCAAGGGTATTATTTAGTTGGCTACCATGTTAAAAAATTTTTTTGATGGGGATTGAAGAATTCTTACGTAAAGAACATTGTGTGACATAAAAACCCTAGCAGCCTTTTTATCGTTAAATTTCCATTCGTGCTTTTGAATCTGTTATACCCTTCTTCATAACTCATTTTCAGAATGATTCTAGGAAATAATCATGAGTTACAGCTTTATCCTATTATTTCCATCTACTGTCTGCTACTTGGTAGAGAATTGAGTCTAAAACGGGTCACTCTTAGATGTTTTCTTTTCAGCATCTGTGTATAAACCTGTGACAAAAGACTCAGGCTACAAAATGGTTTCTGATGAAGTGGCCCCATGTCCTAAGGGCAGCATTACTGCAAGTTCTGATTATTTTTGGAATTTGTGTGCTTTTATCTTTAGAGTTGTAAGCTTGGAAGCATAGTAGAGGGCAACATAGAATTGACCTACCAAGTTTGAAATCTGCTTTTGGGGAGGGTCACTTGGGGTCTTGATAGGTAACAGTTTTGCTGAGGGTAGCACGTGACAAAAATTTTACTGCAAGAATTTTAGTCACCACAGCTCATTTGATCTTTACAAAGATCTAGTCAGGAGGTTGGTCACATCTCCTTTTACCAGATGGAGACCAAAGGGTGCCATGACTTGCCGAAGATCTCAGAGCAATTAAGTAATGGTGCAAAGATCAAAACTCAGACAGTAGGGCTCATGCTAGAATCATTACTCTGAAGTTCCTGTTGCGTCTTGGTGTTACTGTTATCTGTAAGGAAGAAGCTCCTTTCTGTGAGCTTACAGAGCAGTCCTGAGGAGTAACTTCCCTAGGACATGTAACGCGAGGTTGTCATCAGTACCACCTTGTGCGCTGAGGAAGCCAGGGCTGGTCTCTGATAGTGTGACATGGCATTTCTGTAGTCTGAGCTACAGCTTTCATTTTCAGTGACTCTGCCATCCTGTATTGTAAGGTATTAAGTGGCGAGAATTAAGTAATAGGTATTAGGATATGTCTTTGAGTTTTGTAATGGCCTCGGGAAACCTTTTTTCTTTTTTCTCTTTAGAAAGTGCGGAAGGTTTTCCAAGTTATGACACAGCTTCTGAGCAGCTCCACGAGGCAGGCTACGACGCTTACATCACAGGACTGTGCTTCATCTCCATGGCCAACTACCTGGGTACTTACTGTTCATGTTTCTGTTGAACACACGGTGGTCCAGTGTGGATCTTACCTGCCTCCCGTTTTCCTGGGATCCACTCGCCCGTTAGGAGTGGAGGGGCTGGAGGTCAGGGTTGCAGGAGGTTGGGGTCCCAGGCATAGAGAGTCCACAGGGAGGAGCCATTGACATCTGTGGTGGGGACTCGGCCTGTGCAGGTCCCATTTACCCTTGGCGAGTACTGTTGACTCAAATAGACTCCTGCCTGAACTTCCAGGCTTCGTCTGCTTGACAGTATGTAATATTCTGTGTCTTTTCTTCATTAGGTTCTTTTCTCAGTCCTCCAAAAATTCATGTGTCTGCCAGATCAAAACTCATTGAACCTTTTTTTAACAAGTGAGTAACCAGAGGGTCCCAGCCCCTAACTTGCTGTCGGCGGAAGAGTTCTGTGTCTGTGACTTCATCGAGGGATAACTGGGCGGTGCGGTGCATAGTTCTCATTTCTAGTGACTCACATGCTGTTCAGTGTGGGAAATGACCTTCTGGGAAATAATTTATGAAATACATTTGCTTTAAAAAACAGATAGGAAGGAAAAGAAAACATCAAAGGCGGTCTATCTCTTCTAAGACAAGAAGTGATTTTAGCATTTGAATTACTTACAAGGGATAAAGTAGAGAGAGAGTGCGAGCACTCATGAGCCTGTGTGTGTACCTGCCTCAGGTACCCCAGCAAATTTTATATGTGAGATGGCTATTCATGCTTATGTAGTTGTTATCTGATTAAATAATATTATTTTTGAGAAGATGCTGGTCATGCAGAGGAATTTTAAGATAATATATGGAGAAGTTTCCATGGTCATGGTGTTCTAAGCCCTCTTCGGAATGATGAAGTACAGGCTTGTTCGTGTGTCTTCGTTGTTGGGAGAAGTCAGTATGATTTAGGGAGAAGTCTAAATTCAGAGCATTTTCAAAGAATCTCCCGATTATTACTTCAAAGTGTGGTTTGTTCTTTCTTGGCAGAGTTGAGATTGAAGTTGTGGATGTGATCCACAGGCAGGCCATAATTTGGCTCTCTGTCAGAGCCCTAAGACTTCATCTTAGCCCAGCTCTCTTAGTAGAGTTGGTTCTAGGAGGTTCCGGGCAAGCCAGATAGAAAAAGGATTGATCAGCACCACTGTCTGCAAGAACTCCTTCAGCGCTAGGTGGTTACATCACCTCCATGGCATACCGCACTCCACAGTCCTGCTGGGGTGGGGGAGGGGGGCTAGAGGGGGCGTCGGTGTCATCCTTCAGTGTCTGTGTAACACCAGCAGCAGTGGGCTCATACTCAGGTGACACAGGCTACAGCGATGTTTATCCCAGACATGTGGGTTCTGAAAGTTGATCATACTGTGGCTTCCTATATTTTGAATCTTCGTTCTTTTCTGTGGAGGTTTAGAGGTAAACAGGTTTGACTTTCAAAACATCTTCCGAACAAGACTGGGTGACAGTGGCAAGTATATGGGAAGTTAAGTTGAATTTTGCTGCATGAAAAATCAACTGGGTAACCACTGAGTCCTTGCTGTCCTTCCAGTTCCTTGTGGTTTAGTAAAACAGGACTTTTTAAACTCTTGTTTTGGGGGTAGTGTTGATCTTTGTACATCCGTGGACAGGCAGCTCATGTCATAGCCCATGGAACTGGAGCCATGACTGAAGCTTGTTGACCATTGCTGTCCCTGCATATGCAGCTTGCTACGTGTGCTGTTCTGGTGATGGGAACAAGCCAGCGAGAGCACGCTTACGTCTGGCTTACCAGTAACTTGTCTGAGCGACATGAAGAGCTGTCAAAAAAGGCTTTGAGTGGAAAGGCTAACTAGGATTTCATATGTTTTCATATCATTTAATATTGATATGCAGGACTATTATTCAACAGTAGCCACATCTCTTCCTTAAAGTTGGGACATTACCTATTCTGTTTTTTTTTTTTTTTTCCCTGAACATAGATGCACTTGAAAAATCATTGGGATTCAGGAATCCGCCTGTAATAGTGCACTGAAAATTTTTGCCTAATCTGATTTTTTGCTCTATTTTCCCCCTATGTAAGGAGAGAGTATTTTCTTTATTTTTGAAGGGAAAAAGGTTCCAGCAGGATTTAAAAATACAAAATAAGAACTTTTTTTTTTTCCCCCTTGGCACTTTTTTTTTTTTTTTAAAGTTTATTTTTACATCATTTTGCACATTTTTTTTCATCTCAATTGTAATCCCCACGGGTTTCCCATCACCAAATCACCCCTGTGCCACCACAAAATAAGAACTTTTTTATGGCCCTATGTAGCTTGGTCAATCAGAGACTTCATTTTTAAGCTGGTTAAAAAGTGTGAAGAGCATTTGCTTCTTTTGACATCTCTTTCTGTTGTAGCTATGACCTTGTTCTTCTTGTCGTGCAGGTTCAGCCATGACATTAAAGTTTGATTTTGACATGTTTTTAAGATTATCCTAGTACAAAACTGTCCAGCAGTTGCCATGCACATGTCTCAAGTGGTCCATTTTAGAAAAATCTCTACATTTTTCTGAAGGTTTATTTACTTTGGTACCAGGCTTTTCTAAATGTGAGCTTAAACAAATATGCGTAGTCCTAACATAATCCTAACATAAATTTGGATGGCCATCAAGCTACCCACATGTGCAAATAATATTTTGTTCCGGTCACACCAGATTTAGGTTTAAAAAGTAAACCTGGAGGGGAAATAAAGCCTACCTATTTCTGTATTATTCTAAATTAGTTTTGGCTGCATGCCATAGGCCATCTTGGGAAGTTGTATGGGGTCAGCAGTGGAGAAACTCCCCGGATAGCTGATGTCTGAGCGGCACGCAGGGAGTCGATGTGTCTATCTGGCCCAGCCGGATAGCGCATGGTGCCATCTGTCCTCTCCCAGCTCAGGGACCTCCCGCAGTTCTTGCTATTGGAATCAGAGTGAAAGTCCTGAGGGAGCTGGGTGATGAGACCTGGATCATACCGCTGCTAAGGGTAGGCTGTGGGACGCGTCATGCGTTGTAGCTCTCTGGGCAGGAAGCGGCTGACCTTCTTTTATAACTGTGGTCACTCGTAATCAATGCCTGGAAACCAGACTTAGAGAAGCCCCTTTTAGGATGGAAAGAACTAAAAATACTCTGCTTTTTATTGCACCACAGAAAATGCAGAATCAGACTTTTGCCTTATGTTATATTAGAAGTTGTCAGTTTCTGCAAGACACCTTGACCTCCTGGAGCTAACTTTTTAGGAAGGGTTTTGGGGAAGGTCATTTTCCTCTTACTTCAGTTCTTAGAAAGAGGAAGGAAATGAGCGAGTCTCTGTTTTAGCTTTTCCCCTTAAGTAATTGAATTAAAATTACTTACATGTTACTGTATAAGACGACCGCATGTTACTGTATAAGACAACTGCCTCATTCATGACACAGTTTCTGGATCTCACCAGGATTCTTCTAGACATCTAGGTCTTCCCGGGCTGACCTAGATGTCTTCTCCAAGGTGCAGTTGAGGAGACAAGCCATAACAAGGACTGGTGATATACTTGTGGACAAGTGGTTTCCTTCACTGTAAAACCAGGATAAAATTTCTCCAGGGAGGTTATAAAAATTGTGTGAGATCTGAAAGGACTTTGATGGCACCTAGCACTTTATCTAGTTAGGTGTCCAATGTATATTATTTTCCTTTCTTGGGATATAAAAGAGTTTAACATACCAGGAGGTTGAAAAAGCAGATATGGTAGCAGAATATATTTCTAGTTTAATGAAACAGAAGACAGTTTGTCATCTTGTGGCTATAAAATTGGAGCACACTGGTGGCAAAAAGAAAGGTCCGCTTTTACCTGTATCTACCATTTAGTGTTGACTCATAAAGAAGATAATGATGAAGTGTCAGATTGGTACATAATGGCAGCAAGATTGCTTTGATTTGGAGCATTTTGAAAAATTGTGTTATTTTGTTATTCAGATAAAGGCAGCAGTTCACGGAAGAGAGTGGAGGTACATAGCACAGCCCTGAGCCCTGAGAGGAGGCGCAGTGCCTGGAACGGAGCACGCTGGTGTCACCTCCCCTTTCCTCCACAGAAAGCAGTCCTGTGCCAGCAGACATGTTTTCTTGCAAAATGTAAGGGTTTCCTACTTAACATCAGAGAGGTTTTACACTGATGGATTAGAGAAAACAAAATACTCAAGGGCAGCACTGTACCTTCCACCTGCAGGGGGACCCTCGTAGCCTTTCCTCTTCCTCCCCCATGTAGAAGAGCAGAAGGTGCTGGAAGAACGGAGGGTGAGGCTAATCTGATTCCTGGTGTCTGGTGTTTACTATCGTGTTCAGCCCGGTGTGTCTTTTCTGAGCTGCTCAGGTCAGGTATAGGTGGTATAGTAAACCCCTCTCACCTCCCAGAGACTGCCAATTCGCCATATAAGCGAGTTATCAGACAGTTGGTGCTACTGATACAGCACCACCGTGTCACAAGCTCCTCTAATTGGTTCCCATTTGCATTTACAATGAAAGGTCATTTGATTTCCCCAGTAGGATTGCCTTACTTCAGGATGTGGTGTAGCATAGAGTGGTATGGTCTCTGGGTTCTGGGACCAGCCCTACTCTGATACTTGTGCCATCCTGGACAAGCTGGTTACCATCTCGTGCCTCAGTTTTCTTATCTGCCAGTTGAGAATACAAGTGCCCATTTTTGGACTGTAAGGGTGAAATGCACAGTGCCTGGCATATGTGGGCCTCAGTCAGCTGCTCTGCTGTGGGGACACTTGTACTGGGAGGATGTGCTTCTTAGACCAGACGTGCGAGCCATCAGTGTTGTTTTGTTCACCTAGAAGGCACCCTGTGTTTGTACCTTTTACACTGTACCTGCCCTGTATTCAATTATGAGTCTTCATCAGAAAAGTGAGGGGAGAGAAAAGCCTGCTTGTAACTGAAAGATGCCCAGGGAAAATATTTGAATGTCTTTTTTTCTATTTTATCTTTTTTTTTTTTTTTTTTTTTTTTTTTTGCCTTTCCCCTTTGAGGTATATAGTTATTTCTGGCTCTGTGCTGTGTAGCAATTTCAGTGATAAATTTTTTTTTAAAGATTTATTTATTTATTCATAT